CTTGTGTTAAGCATCGAACTTAAACCTACATGAAGAAGGTAATGCGCATGTTTTTTGTTTATCTTTTTGCCCGTGCTTAGTACAAAACTTTCTGCTAGTAAATCTAACGATAGAAGGCTTGCGAATGCAGCAAATGGAATGTAACAGTGAATTTTACCATTTTTTTTTAATTACAGAAATGCCATATTTGAACAAGCTCCCTCAGTTTTCCGTTGGACAGAACCTGAGTCCGATGGATAAAAGCGTATTGGACCCGGTGGACAAAGGCAGGCTGCTTGAGCCGAGCCCGTTGGATAGAGCCAGCAAGCCTGTCCGTTGGACATAGCTCGAACCCAGGTGGACAAAAACCGATGGATAAAGGAAGGCTTCCTTAGCCGAACTCGTTGGACCGGTCGGACCGAGTCAGCACGTTGGACAATAGGCTGATGATGATAGCCTAATAGACATTGCCCGATGGATAATGAACCTTAATCCGATGGACAAAGGTTTTAGGCTGAACCCATCGAGTACCCAATGAACTCGTCAATATTATCTCTCTCGTATCATCTACCTTCTTCGACTATCTTTCTCTCTGTGTTCTTCTTCCGTTAGAGCAGAGGTTTTTTATTTTTCTTCGCATGGCCTTTCAATTCTCTCCGTGTATTGTTCTATTCCTTCAGGCAAGAGTATATGTTTTCTATTTTTTTACCATGTGGTTTATTGTTTCCTTCGTTGCATTGTGGTTTTCTTATGCTAATATTTTTTCTCCTGTTCTGTCTCGAGGGTCTTTTGATTTTGGTTGATGGCGGTGGTGGTGAGTTTGTTGATTGTTGTTCTTGCCGTGATAACAATCTTCGGAGTTGTGGACGGGATGATTAGACGACTCTGCTCAAGAAGGAGAATCATCGGTCATGGGAAATATGATTTCAAAGGATGAGTGGAGAGAAAAGTGCTCATCTTGCATCGACGGGAGGATCGATCACCCACCACCACCACCACTTCCTAATACGAACGTCGTCGGCTTCCTCCTATCAACTTTTAGGGGTTCTTCCTTTTTTGTTTGTTCTTTTTTTTTTCTGTTCAGTTTGCTCTTGTTTGTAGTGTTTTATATATTGATGCCATCTTTTCTCCTTTTGATTTAGGATTTTATTTTGTGAAGAGGGTTTTATTTTTTTGCTGCATTTTTGTTTGTCATGATATTTTTTACTATTTTTTTTTTTCATTTTCTGTCTCGCAGGATTTAAGGTTTGTAGTTTTTTGTGAAGTATTTTACTGATGCCATCTTTCTATGTTCTTTCTGGCATCAGTGGTGTATTATTTTTGCCCCTTGGTTTGTGTGTTCGACTGTAGTGTGGTGGTGGTTCGACAGTAAGAGATATTCTTCATATCTTCGTTTTCGTCTGTTTTTTGGTTCTCTTAGGTTGACCTTACAGATTTTGTTCTTTCTCTTTTGTTCTTGGCCTTTTCTTTTTTATTTTTTCTCTCAGACTGTAAAATATTGAAGCTGGAGTGATCTTGAATTTGGAGGAGATTGTTTTCGTCTTCTTCAAAGTGCTCAGATCATAATCTTAAATAAAAATTATTCTTTTTGTTTTTTTATTGGGGAAAATTTGTTGGATTTCGTCAGAAGCAGTAAAATAAAAAGAGGATACTCGTGCCCATATCTTTCTTTTCTTTTTGTGAATTTTGAGAAATGACAAAAAAAAAAAAAAAAAACCCATTTTTTCATATCTATGCCCATGACATTGGGCTTTTAACTGGACCATTCATTCATCTGATGAATGAACCTTGGCAGTCAGCCATCTGTAGTCTCCCTGTCTGCATCATCTCAATATTCCACTGTTTATTGAACTTCTCCAATGCAAATGTTAATCGTTAGTGTTCTTTAATTTATTTCAATATATGTATAATATTGGATTTATTACCGCATGGGGGAATACATGGCTGATTTAGATCATCCATCTGATGAATGAACCTTCTGCGTCATCCATCTGTAGTCTTCCCATCTTGTATCATCTCTATGTCTCACTGTGTATTGAATTCTTATTTAAGTATTAATCCTTAGTGTTCTTTAAAGGGTACTATGAAGGAAAAGTGGACTCACTTTATCTTATTTCTTTTTTCCTTAAAAATATTATGCCTGGACCTGATTAAAAATTAAGTTTCTTCAACAAGATTTTGATATGACCCTTGCCTTTGGCCTATTGATGTAAGGACCCTTGATCAATACAATCTCTCCCTAGAAGTATTTGCTGCCTTGCCATGGACCCAATTTCTACAAAACCAAACTGACATTCTCAAACTCAAACCGACAATCTCACATTTAACAACTAATAATTTACCATTAATAAATGGTCTTAAACAAGGCCTAGTCCTTTTTTTTTATATAAAATTGTAGGAAGCGTTCATGATGTGTTTTAGATTTACCCTTTATGATGATTAATTCATTCTAAAAGCATGTAGGGAAATGTTTAAGCTGCTATAAATGATTAATTCATTCCAGTAGTGATTTGATTAAGAATTATATTTGATATCTCATTTACTTTACATCATCTAACAATTTATATGATATGATTTGCAGGTGAAACCATTTTGTGTTGGAAGAAGTGTTACATTATTCAAGAAGACTTTTTTAAATGCCTTATACTTTTGTATATGACAGTTGGATATTGTATTTAAGCAATTTGTTTTGGATATTATAATAATTAATATTTAATTAATAGCTTTTTTATTTTTGTTTGCATTTTTATTTAAATTTAATTTTATGTATCAAATTCGTATAAATAATATATATATATATTAAAACAAAGTGGTCAAGAAATTCTCTTTTTTTTTTTATTTCATGTCATTTTTTGAAACAACCAATGAGATGCACTTTTCCAATAATCAAAATAATATTTTCTCCTAAAATTTCTCCTAAATTATCTGTAATTCATATTTATCCTCTCCCCTGTTTTTTATTTATATTTATCCAAAGAAAGTTTAACTCAATTTAGCATATTATTTCAGTATTTAAATAACTAAATATTTAAAAAAACAAAATATTTAACAATACCAGATTTTAAATAGTTAAAATAAAGAAATTATGTAATAAAAAAATTTAAAAAGTATAAAAATAATTATAGCATAATATTGAAATTAATAATAATTTAATATTTTTACATAAAATTATAAATAATTAATTTCACTTATATCAAGTAATAATTCAAGAAAATAACTTTCAAAAAAATTAATATTTATTAATAATAATTTTAAACTCTTAATCTATATTTATTATATAATTATATATACTAAAATTAATATTTATTGTTTTTTGTGATAAGTGTACTTTCAATGATTATGTATAATTTTTTTGTTTTGTTATTTAACATAAAATTTTTAATAATTATTGGAGATTAAATTACTATTATTGAAATTTCTAAAGTTAATTTATTATACTTGTTGTATTTTTGTTATAAGTTGTTATTGATTAATATTTATTAGAGATTAAACTATTATTTAAGAGTATATTATTTATTGACTAAGTTAATATATTTTTAGTACTTATTGTATTTTTGTAATTGTTGTAATTATTGTTTCAATAATTATTTATTTTTGCTATAAATTTTCAATAATTATTAGAGATTAAACTATTGTTATTTATTAGAGATGAGACTATTAATTTAGATGAAATTATGAGTATTCATGAGTTGGTTTGGTTCGGTCGTAGGCTATTTGGCCAACTAAATTGACCTTGTCAGGTTAGTGATTTGGTCAGTTGAAACCGACTAACCTTTTGTGAAAACCAACCCATTTAAGTTGTATTGATTTGGGTTGATTTTTTGGTTTGGTTAGTTGGTTCAAAAGATTTAAACTTAAAAAATTAAATTAAATTTTAAAATCTATAGTGTATTTATTAAAAATAAATTTAAAAATTAAATTTATGATATAAAACATTTTAGACTAAGAAATATGAGAAATTTTCCACTTTTTTATATTAAAAATTATATTTAAAATATAAAATATTAATATATATCCATGGTTAGGTCATTTGATTTTGGTCAATTTATAAATGGCCAAAGTGAAATTGATCCTATTTGGTTGAATTGGAAAATTTTTGAACCAAAGCCAACCTAAAATACTAAAAATCCAATAAACTCGGGTTGAGTTAATCGGGTTGGTTGGTTTCATGAATAATCCTAATTGAAATTAATTATTGTTATTTTTGTATTATAAAAATTTTATTAAAAGTAGTATATAAAATATGAATAATTATTAATTATTTACAAAGTTGAAAATATAAAACAATTGATCACTCTTATATGTTTCTATTAGGGTCATTTAGTAGAATGCACCTTCGGGGATGACAATTTTCCCCATCCTCGACGGAGACCCGACTTTCCCGACCTAATGGGGTTGAGGATATGGATTGTTTTGGCGGGGACCCGACTTCCCCGACCCCGATTATATCTATCTATCTATCTATATATTAAATGTTATTTATATTAAATATACTATTATATTTTTATATTATATATATATATATATATATATATATATATATATATCAAAACATTATTTATAATTAAAAATTTTTATTTACTTTGAATAAATTTAATTAAAAAAATACCATTATTTGAAAACATTTTGGGGATTTGGGTCCCCATCGAGGATCGGGGATGGGGTTAATTTCAGAATCACACACCTTATAGTTTTACATATTTACTTAAACCACCTTATCGTTTTTATTTTACTAAAACATCCCATATATTTTACAAAATTGAGCGTTTGTTTTGCTATTAGACTCGTGATTTTTTATTCTAAAAATATAACACATTTTTTTTGTATAAAAAACAAAATTGACCAAATATAACTATTAGATTGGTTGCCCGTGTCTTATTAAGGACAAAAATGGTATTTTTATTTTTATTTCTTTTGATTAAATTTATTTAAATGAACATTATGGTCAACACTGTCATTTTCCACTATCATCTAATGGAATATTGATCAAATAAGTTGCAAATTATAAGTGGTGTTTTAGTAAGATGCTAACTATAGGGTATATTTTAGTAAATACATGAAATTATGAGGGATATTTTAGTAAATGACCCTTTCTATTCAGACTGTCACCTAAAAAACGGAAGAAACTTGTTAATTGACCTAAGGCGGCGGTCTGAATAGATCTAAGTCAGCGGTCCAAACTGCCACCTAAAAATGGAAGAAACACGTTAACTGACCTAAGGCGGCGGTTTGAACAGATCTAAGTCGACGGTTTAGATTGCCACTGAAAAAACAGAAGAAACGTGTTAACGTACCTAAGGCGGATGTCTAAACAGATCTAAGCCAGCGGTCTAGACTGCCACCTTTATTAACTTTGAGTCGAACGGTTCTGATATACCGCCGCTTTAGGGAACGATCGAACTGCATTAGATCGGCCTTCAAGGGTGGCGGTCTTTTATGTCTAAGCCGGCGGTCTTGAGCTAAGCCGATAGAGGTTTAGGGGCGGATTGAAGACCGCCACTTTAGATAAAAGCCGGTGGTCATTAGGCGTATTGGGTTTGTTACAATGGATAGTAACTACGCACAAATCTCTCTAAATAGTTGGGATTAGGCTCCATTGGAATGAGACACTTGTCCATGATTGTTGAGACATTTTCTCAACCAATCAAGGTTTTCTCTCCCCTATCTGATAAATCTCTCTCAATGTTTTTAATCTTTAATCTGTTATCTATTTTCTTACATGCACAGACAAAGCTTTCCTAGGTTTTTCTTTCTCTTCTTCGATGGCCGCTCCACCTGCTAGGGCCCGAACCGATTACAATTACTTGATAAAGCTTCTCCTGATCGGCGACAGCGGTAAGAGATTTGCTCTTTACGTTCGTCCCTTCCCAATTCGACATGCCAGATTGATGCCCAGATGCAGCAGAGAACTGCTCGCATATCTACTTTATTCTCAAATTGCAATATTTTTGAGCAGGTTGTAGCTTATTTAATGGTTACATCAGTAGTTGCAGTGGTGGGGATACTTTACTTGGCTTACAATGGCGACAGAGATGTGAGTTGGAGTGAAGTCTGTACCTTTTATGGAAAGTTTTGTAGTAGAGCAAAAGTGGCTTTGGTTCTCCATGCTTATCAGGTCCTCCTGTGCTTCCTTGGCTTAACTCTGATTTCAGCATACATTGGTCCTCTTGTGCTTCCTTGGCTTAACTCTGATTTCAGCTTACAGAGTTTTCAGCCAGTATCGTCCTCCTTGTGTTACTTCCAAAGAAGCAGAACAACAGAATGATTAAAATGGCCATGCTGATGCATGTCACTGCTTGGGATTACTTCCTAAAATTAACTAACAAATGTTCTCTCATTTTGCATCTTAGTCTGCAAATTCTAAACCTGTTGTCTGTTTGAGTTTGTTTGTTGTGGCTTTCTTTTTTCTGTTTCTTCATGCCTGGACAAGTAAGTCGGAAACTCCATTTCCTTCTTCTCTCATGATTCAAGTAATTTGCAGCAATACTGCATAGCCACAATATCTCGGATGGTCGGTGTGTGGAATGCTGATATCATACAACATTTTACAGAAACAGCATCAGGGTCAACTACAATCAGGAGTTTTGATCAGGAATCGAGATTCATGGAAACAAATCTCGAGCTAATTAATGCTTATCAGCAACCCAATCTCTATCATATTGGTGCAATGTCGTGGCCATGCTTCCGCTTGGATATATTGTCATTAGTGATGTTTGCTTTCGCTTTGGTTCTTTTGATCACCTTACCAGGAGTAACTAATCCAAGTAAGTTCATTACATTTTTTTTCTTCAAAAAAATATTCCTTAAGTTTTCATTACTTACCAGTGGCTACTGCTTAGAGTTTCCTCTCCCCCCTCCATTTCTTCTTCTTCCAGGGTTAGCAGTGATGTATGGACGTACTTTGAACATGCTACAAGAAGATGTCATATTTACCCTAAGCAACCTTGAGAATAAAATTGTATATGTAGAGAGAATACTTCAATACGCATGCATTCCCCATGAACCTCCTCCCATAATAGAAGCAAATAGACCTGATCCTAACTGGCCATCCTGTGGAGAAGTTGAGATTCAGAATTTACAGGTGAGGTCAAGTCTCAATAATGGCATTTTATTTTGAATGAATGAAAAATACATAGTCCAATAGTAACTCAGTAAATCTGTGTAATTATCCATTACCAGAAAAAAGAAACAATAATTAACATACACATGGACCTAGAAATAAGAATGCGATGCATGTCCAGGAGTCTGACTTGGGAAGAAAAAACGGACTTGTAGACTTGCCTATAGAAAAGTATAAAATCTTTAAGTAGTTCATATCTTTTTGTATTTCAATGTTACATATGTATAGAAAATGGGTTTAAATTTTATATTTGTGTTTTAATAATGTTTCATAAGAAAATTGGCATCCATTTTGTACATTAGCTATTTATTTATATCAAATAAGGGAGGACAGAAAGGAAAATGTTACACAGAAATGTCCTCCAACAACCCATGGAGTGTTAGAATCATACATAACTCTGACATGGATGCTTCATCAATTTAGGAGAGTCCAGGCGACATTAACATTAATCCATGTTCCAAACTTTCAATGTTTGTAATAGATGTCTATATGTTTGTAGAACACAACTTTCATTTTCTTCCAGCAAAATAGAAATGCTGTAGTTTCTCAATATTTTTTAACAACCCCAAGTGGATTCAGGTTCGCTATGCCCCACACTTGGCCCATGTTTTGTGTGGTATTACATGCACCTTCAATGGTGGAGCAAAGATTGGGATTGTTGGGAGAACAGCTGTGGTCAAATTCTAATCGATGGTATTGACATTAGAACTATAGGGCTGCAGGATCCGAGGTCCAGATTAAGTATCATTCCACAAGACCCCACTATGTTCAAGACCCTGCGAAGCAACCTTGATCCACTTGTTGAGTACACAGATCAACAAATATGGGAGGCTCTAGACAAGTGTCAACTGGGAGAAGAAATTAGGAAGAAAGAGGAAAAGCTTGATTCAGAAGGTTCGAATTTGCACATGTGCTCATTAGAGAAGCATAGCATATTCCTGGGTTAACTTTTGTGGTTAATGGGATTTTTTTACAGTAGTTGAGAATGGTGAAAATTGGAGCCTTGGTCAGCGGCAGCTGGTCTGCTTAGGACGGGCTTTACTAAAAAAGAGTAAAATTCTTGTGCATGACAAAGCAACAACTTCATTAGATACAGCAACTGATAGCCTGATCCAGAGAACAATAAGAGATCAATTTTCAGGGTTAACAATCATCAGTGTAGCTCATCGAATAGATTCTGTCCTTGATAGTGACATGATCTTGCTACTTGATCAAGGTTGGTTGGCATGGATAAATTGGTATTTTTCTGCTGGGTAGTTACTCTTCAAAAACTTGTTTCCCATTTTTTTTTTCTATTTTTGTCAGGTCTTATTGTGGAGTATGACCACCCAAGAAAATTGTTAGAAAACAAATCTTCAGCATTCACAAAACTTGTAGCAGAGTATACCTTAAGGTCAATCTAGGAAGGAATATTATGAAATAGGCTTATCTCAAACAAGATAGGTAATTGGGTTGATAAGGAAGACCTGTTAGAGTTGATAGTCTGCAGGAGAGGTCATCTCTTTATGTCTGTGAGTAATGTGCAACATTTTAACCATTTATGATAAAGTCTTTTAATTTAGTAAATCATAACCAGAAATGGGTGGTATCTAACTTTTGATGCTCTTCCATTGGCAGGTCCCTCTGAATGGCATATCTTAAGGCATGGCCAGTGTCAAATGTTACAATCATGGATCATTAAACACTAGTCATTACTTGCTACTTGGAACTGGTGTCATCCAAGTCAATGGTCTCATGTAACCAATCTGATTTGTAGGGAACAAGTGCAAATTTACAAGGATTTTAGGGTCAAATGTGATGCTAGCAAGTTAGGAGTGTTTTTAGTAAGTAGACGTTATATGATAGTTAGTTTGGGAGTTTAATCAATGTAAAATGGTTGTGTATTTGCAGATGATTAACTATTTAGCAGTTTTAATGACAAGCACATAGAGAACATTCACAGTTCACACTCTGATAAATGATAATTTTATCATTCACAGTCCTTGTGTTCCTTTCGAAGAAGCAAAACAACAGAATGATTAAAATGATCATGTTGATGGGCATGTCACTGCTTGGGATTACTTCCTGTTTTTATGTAAGTGTTCTGAGAGAGAATTATAGAGAGGTGGTTACAGCTTTGATGTTCTCTGTTATAAATTAAATAGAATTTATGAATATATATGGAGAACTTGAAGTTGTAGTTCCTTCATGGTGACGGACTGAACACGCTTGCCTGGTAGCTATTCCTTCTGGTGCCCATGGTGGAATATGTTTGCAGACTGATTTGTACAATAATTGGTAGGATGATGGAGATGAATCTCTGATTACTGGAAAATGGCACACAACTACAGCTTCTATTGTTCTTTTTTTTCTCCCACTTAGCGCCCCTCGCTAGTAAGAAAGAAAGAAAAAGAGACGTGTTTGTATTTTGGTTGTCTATGTCGCCTAGTGATAAATTGAATGAAATTATTAAAATACAATATATAAGCGTATGTACTTACGTCATTACACCAAATCAGTAAGCCGGTTGAACCTTCCTTGGTCGAGCCTTTTCAAAATTTTAATAAATGTTCAACCCAAACCCACCCAAATTGAACCCTCCCCGGAAGGCTAAACCACTGAAACTCTTGAAGTTCAACTGAAGGTGGGAAGGCCGAACTCATCTTAGGTATGTCTAATTCTGATAGAATTAAAATGGCCTATTCTGATTTCAACCCTTTTGTTGGGTATTACCGGAATATGACTTGGTGATTTCCCTCTATATATATATATATATATATATATTTTTTTTTTTTTTCTTTTGAGCGAATGATACCAAACGCACCCTAAGTATGTTATTTGAATCACTCAGGTTCGGGTTCGACCACCCCGAGTTATGGTACGAAGCTGCCACTGCGATCGTCCTTGTTTGTGTCGGTTCAGGACAAATTTTATTTCTTCATTTGCAGACATCTCTCACCAAACCCAACCCGGATTTTTCTCGACTGAGACTGGAGGAGAGCGGAGATCTAATCAGAAAAGCGAAGAGACCCCAAAGAGGAGGGAAACAAACTTTATTTTCAAGGTAATGTTTTTGGAATGATTGTTTTCAGAGATGTTTCATTTTCTGGTTTGTTTGGCTCGGATCCGATCCATACTCGTTTACTTGATCGGGGTTGGAATCCTGCTTGTGAAGTTCTTTGATTTTAATCTTGTAAAGTTGTACTGAGCTTTTATTTTTTCAACTGTTCTTTTTAAATTTCTAAGTAGTTTCTTAAAATCTTTTAACTCTTATTGGTTGCAGACGAAAGTGTGCTTATAATTCTAAGAATTACTCGTTTGTAGTCCTGCAAGAGAATTTCTAATGTTAATTTTCGGGTTTTTTTTTTTTTTTGCTAATTTGGTTCATTTATATATTTGAGGGACAAAAAGCAGGTAACTTGATGGAAGGATTGATAAGTTCACGCATCACTCCCATTCGCCCTCGTTTTAGTCGCCAACAATCTCCTCTTTGTTCTGTGAACTCTCTGCGTATATCTCAAAGTGTGTATAAGAACCCTATTGGGATGGCCAACCAATCCACAAAGTTCACCTTGATTGCCGCTTCAATTCAGCAGCCCTTAGAGTCCTCTTCTGCTCGCTTCAGCAACACCGTCCCTTCTAAAGGTCGTATTGGAAAACTTTTCAAGTGATTCATTCTTTATTGGTTGGGTGTATTTCCGTGTTTGTGAACTCGGATTTGGAGCTGTAAAAGGGTCTATTGATTGTTGGATTCAAATCAGCTAATCAATGACAACTTCATTAAGGTGGAGTTTGGTGTTGATACTGAGAGACCCAATGAATTGAGTAGATGTATTTAGAATGTCGTTCTAAATAATGATCCTTGATTCTCTATCGTTGTGGATTCTGGTTTCTTGCAGAGGTTCTTGAGATATGGAAAAGTGCTGATGCAGTATGCTTTGATGTGGATAGTACTGTCTGCCTGGATGAGGGTATTGATGAGCTCGCGGAATTTTGTGGAGCTGGAAAGGCTGTTGCAGAGTGGACTGCCAGGTTTCATGTCCTCCTTGCTGTTCCATCTAAAAAAAAAATTTGGATGGATTGGTAATGAAAAATGTTTACAGTTGTTTCCTTTTTGTTCGGACTTTCCAGGGCAATGAGTGGCTCTGTTCCCTTTGAGGATGCTCTTGCTGCTAGACTCTCTCTGTTTAACCCTTCTCTGTCTCAAGTCCAGGATTTCCTTGAGAAGAAGCCATCCAGGTATGCGAGCTCCTTACTTTGTCTTGCTTTCAATATCATGGGTATTTATTGCCTTATTTTATATTATCCTATCCTAGAAGATGTGGTTTTGTGATTTTAGGTTCTTCTTCTTCTTCATTTGTTGATGGAGAGGATTTCTGTTTATCCTTGTATGATTTTTCTTTTCGTTAATGTTGTCCATATCGTTAGTAGTAGTAAGGGACTACAACCTGTCGGCTTCTTTCATGTGTTTGCTTGAGATGGGCAACCCCTAATAATTTTTCTTGTAGACATTCAGCCCTTTCTCCTCCATCTGTCTAGCCAATCCTAATTCTTGATTTGTGGCTTAGTGGAGCTCTGATTTGATGCTTGTTAAATTTCCTTATTCCAAAAAATTTGTTTTTCTTTTTATTTAATATTGTGTTTTTGTTTGCATTGAAGTGATAAATTATATAATATCTAGGGGATTACAACCAATGTTTTGCTCTATAGACATATATGTCTTTGTCTTTCTTTTTTACATTGCTTTTCTGTCTGCTTTCTTTGGTGACTTGTCTGGTTTTTATTCCTTCCATATCATGTTATTTTAGTCAATGTAATTTGGCATTGGTTTATTGTAATTTGTAGGATTTCTCCAGGAATAGACAAGTTGATTAAGTATCTGAAGGCTCATAACGCTGATGTGTACCTGATCTCTGGAGGGTTTCGCCAAATGATCCAAGTATGCTCTTGCACTTTAAAATGAGGCTCATATTTTTATCATATCAGTATCAATGTTAAAGCATGGTGGTTGCTAAGTATGTGTAAAAGAGTGTATTATCCTCTTCAAGATGTGGGAAGAGGAGTGAAACTCTACTGGCTTATCTCTTTTGTGGCACGTGGTCATAGAATAAGTTCCCTATTTTAAAGTGATTATTGTAAGATAGACTCTGGGAAAACCACCATGGAATCAATTAAAAAGGGCCATTGCCCAATGTTGATCCTGGCTATCCAAGCTTGGGAGGGATGGACTTGATACAGACCTAACCTCTGGTAATTTTTGCACAAAGTGTGCATTTTCTTAATTGAGTTAATTCTCATGTTTAAAGTTGAGGAATCTCATTATTATCTTGGAGAGGTTCATCAAATAGTAGCTTGGATATGGCTGCATAGTTTTTCTTTTTAATGTATCTTTAATTGCTAAACCTATCACTTTTGTCTTGCGAGTCTCACAAATTTTAGATGCTTTAATTTCTATAGCTTATTTTGATGATTAATTTTATTTTATTTTCTTTCTACTGATTAAAAAACAATTTGATTTTGTTTTTGGCTAATGCTTTTATAACCGCTGTATCTTTTTATGACTTACCTTGAGAGCTAGTCCTGGTTTCCAATATTTTGTGTTCATTGAAACCTGCACACAAGTTCCATACCCCTTTATTTGGTCTGAAAACATTACTTACATTTCGATGTGTGGGAAACACATTTTCTTGTAATAATTAATAACTAGAACATTTTTTTTCTTTGAAGCCTGTTGCATCAATTCTTGGGATTCCATGTGAAAACATTTTCGCCAATCAGCTTCTCTTTGGAAGTTCTGGTGAGTTCCTTGGGTTCGACAGGAATGAGTTTACTTCAAGGAGTGGTGGAAAGGCCACTGCAGTTCAACATGTAAGAAAGGTCAGTCTTGGATATCTGCAGAGACATTTTCAGTTTAGTTCTCTTAGCAGCTTTTGTATTTTACTGATTATGTTGAGCTTTTAGGCCCATGGATACAAGTGCTTAGTCATGATTGGGGATGGTGCAACTGATCTTGAGGTAAGGATATATCTACCAACACCATCGTCTTCACAACTGCTTGGGAGTTGGGATGGTTACATGATTCCTATTATACCAATGAAATTTATCTAGTGCTCTTCCTATCAAAACGGTCTGTTGCCATGCATGGTGTGATTTGATGACATGTTGCACACATTTGATCATACTAATCCATGAATGTTTGATTCCTAACTTGATGGAACCATTACTGAAAATCAGTCTGGTTGATCTACAATTCTGAGATTGACTCTTTCATGAACTTATACCTGGTTTCATGATGATATAGGAAAAGTATTGAGCCATGGTGAAAAATAGCTAGGAAGCACTAACCAACACTGTTTGTCTGTTTCCAGGTGGGCCTTTTGGCACAATGTGCTTGACATTGGCCTAAATCATGTTATACATATTCCCTGAAATATTTGCAGATCAGAAATAGTAATTTGCTAAATGCTAATCATGTTAACATATTCAACAAGTCTACCCTTAGATCAAACAAAAAATTACTGCATTGTGAACAATAGAAGTCAAACCAAGCTGCGAATTAGATAATCATTGTTTGGAATAACCTTGATATCGATTTGGAAAGTTTTCATGGTGGACCCGACACCCATATTTTTCCTTTCTTAGCCTGTTCCAAAACAAGGTTCTTACCCCATAATGAATAATGCTCGTCTTATAATCACCTATGAAGTGAAAGAGTCTTTAACTTGTTTAGTTACGTAGCTAGAGATGGTCATTGGAATCACAGAATCATGTTGGTCAAGAGAAAAGAACATAATGGAATCATGGTCCTGTAGACCAGTAGATGTATATTTGTATGGGAAATGTTCTCCTTAGTCGACCTAAATATATTAATTCTACAGGCTATGTTGAAAACATGTTTTTTATTCTCATTTATCTAGAATCTAATATGTCCGGTTTTAGATGCTAAGAAGTGCAAAAATAATAATAACCATCAAAAAATGCAAAAGTTATAATGATTAAATATGCGATTCATGGACTAATTGGAACTATTTTGTTGAATCATTAGCCAAAATTCTTTTGAAGTTATAATTGCATTGTATAGTTTTATTTTACATCTTTTCATTTGACTGAAAGAAACTTTTGGATCCAATGTGATGTACCTCTTTCTACATTGCGATACACAGGCTCGTAAACCAGGAGGTGCCGATCTGTTTATCTGCTATGCAGGCGTTCAACTTAGAGAAGCTGTTGCTGCAAAAGCCGATTGGCTAGTTTTTAATTTCCAAGATCTGATAAATTCCTTGGAATAGAATGATGCCCTCTTAGTAGTGTTTCTTGATTCCCTTGTTTTTGTTTATTAATTCCATTGGGTTGCATGGTTCATCAACCCTTCCCAGTTTAGCCCATCATCCTAGCTAGGATGAAAATATGGTACTTGTGATTCTTTTTTCTTCATGAACCAAAAAGAAAGGAAGGAGAAGCAAAAAGGGGAAATCCCAATTTGAGAAATGATTGTGTTGGCTATGTGTAGTAAAATGAATCCTCATTGAAAATTTCGTTTTCTTCTTTCAGTTTTCATGCTTGTTTCTCTATACTTGATTATGTTATTGGAAATTCTTCCATCTCAATGCCAATCAAAGAAAAAAGATGCTTAAGAAGAAGAATGCCATTTCATCCCAAATTCCCCCAGCCACTCCTATTTTCATCCTTTTATCTCCCTTGGACGAATTAAACACAATGAAAATTTAAGAAGACATGGCATGAGAGCCGCAATAGGTTTGTTTCAAGAAAACAGAGGGCAGAGTATCGGGCCCATCATCCTCCAAAGTCGAAAGCTTTATACCCAGCCCAGTGGCCCTCTCAATTCAGTGAATATGGCCATGGGGTTTCACCTGACACTGACAATACTGGCTGGAAAAAATAATTAAAAGATTTGTTGCTAATCAATGTATATTGTCTGTCAAAGCAGGGGTTAACCTGACCATCTATCTGTTCACTTTCTGAGGTCATATTATTATTAGCTTATATCACCTCTCTTACTGACATTGGATCCATAAAGCTCTCGGCATTTGACAACTCAAACCTGTTGTTCGAGTAAAGGAATCGCTGGGACATGAAAGTCTATGACGCCTTCAGAATCACACCAGATTACTGGGGGTCCGGGGCATATTGTCTTGCAGTGTAGAGTGTAGACAGTGGCCCAACCAAGGCTTCTTGAGAGAGAGAGACCCAGGGGAGCCATGGCCCTGAAATCCCCACTTATATTACACTCTTCCCTCTCTCCCCACCCCAATGGGTCTGTCATGTCAGAGGCCTCTCCTTTCTCCCCTACCATTTGTCTATTTTGCATTTTTTTTTTTGAATTTTTATTTTTAAAATTGAACAAAATAATTCAAGTAGCCAATTAGTCTTTATCGCTTTTATTTCTCCTCGTTAATTCACCATTAACTCTCTCCTTTTTCTTTAACTCCTTTGATTATCTCTCCTCATTGGTCATTCCATTAACTCTCTCTCCTCCAATAAATTACTCCACTAATTCTTTGCTTAAATTTGACGACTCTTTTTCTTTTTTCTTTTTTAGTTTTTATTATTATTTTATTCTCTCTCCTCTCATTAATATAATAAACCAAAAGCAAATTGCTTAGAGGTGATCATTTCGGTCCCGCCTTGGCTTGGGCCCATATCAGGCCTCTAAATGTCAGGGCCAAGCATGGGCCTAATACTTCAAGGATAGCATGGGCCTAGCCCAACCCATAAACAAATAACAAATAATTAGTTATCATAAATAGTTAAATTACCTAAAAGTAATGGGATAGAGAATATCATTTATTTCTATTGGTGTGTTCCACTATTAGCATATTGTATTCCAAAGAGAGAATTTTATTCTCATCCAAATTCAATTTATTTATTACATAGTCAAATTCTATTTAGTGGTTGATTGTTTGAAAATTATAATTTGAAACCTAATAACTGAAGTTACTAAAAATATTAAATTTTAACAAGTTTTTATCTAGCAACTATTAAAAACTAAAAAATTAATGTTTCATAAATTAAAAGTTAAAATACATTTGAATTATATTTGAACATAACTAATATTTATGGGATAATTAAAATAAAGTATAAAAAATATTAAAAGTAATAAAACAACCCATTTGCATCCATATAAAATTAATTAAAATAATAAAACCTATAATGGCCCGATTAGAAATGTCATACAACTCCTACTTACGGATGATTATTTTGTTACTCGGCTCAACACGGTTAGACCTACAAATTTCTGAGCTCCAATAATTGTTCTCTTCTAAGGTAGGTCTAACTTAGATTTGCACCAAGACCACACATAATGTGGGCAGTAGGGTTGTAAATGGATTAAATTAAAATCGGATCCAGTTGCATCCGCATTTGCATCCAATTATTATGTTGGATTTCAAATCGAATTAAGATTTAATCCATGATCATCTTATTATGTTTAAAATGACCAAAAACTAAAAAAAGGTTTTAAAAACTAATTATTTAAAGTATATATGTATAATAAATTATATAAATATAATTTATTAAATTTATCAATTATAAATTTTATATAATTATACATATATACATAAAACAATAATCATTTATTGAACTCAAATTTTAATCAAATTAGATGGGGTTAAGTCTGCATCCACATCCGATTATTAATTGGATGCAAGTTCTAACTTCCAAATCTGGGATAATCATATTTGGAGTGGAATCGGGTATGACACTTTCAGAGTCCATTGATAGCCCTAGCGAGTAGGGTCCAAGCTAAGAAATCCCTATGGCCTATGCTAAACTTGGAAGTTGCATATATGTTAAATATTATTATATAATATTTAGATAGCAAAAAATTATATTAATATATTGATAGAAATTTTTATAATATATTAACATTAAATAAAATTTTAATTTATATAAAAATCATAGTTTTATAATTTACATGGGCAAACATGTCCTTGTCCCTAGCTCAAACAAATATTGTTATGCTTGGGGTATGGGCCGGGCTGGGTCAGACAACCTTAAAAACTATTAATACACTATCAAAATCTAGCTAAGATCTTATTATTATTATTATTATTTGCTCATTGGGCTACACAATGGGGGTAGCCCATCCCCCATAGTTCCTTTGGCTTCAATATTAATACTTTTTATATAAAAAATAGTTAAATGCCCAAAAATAATGTATGCAAGGGTTATACTTGGTCTAGTTCAGTCCAATTATTCACATTGCTCTTTGCACTTGGGTGGGATGAATCAGGTTGAGGATCAACCCAAGCCCAACCGAAGTCTTAAACCTCAAGCTCTGGATTAGATTAATTTAATTATGATAATTTTTTTTTTCTTTTTGTAAAATTATGATTACAATTTAAATATCGACTAATATTTACAAAAAAAAATTGTAACATTTAATCATTAATAAAGTAATAAATAAAATAGAGCACTATCAAATAATATGGAAAATAATTAATAGTAATTTATTACTTATTAAAAATTGTTAATATAATAAACCACATTAATAAACTACTAAATTATTTTTTAATAAAATACTAAAATTAAAATTAATTATTTAAACAACATTACATTCTCTTCTTGTAATAATTATCAATTCATGTTATTTCACTTTTATTGTAATAATTATCAATTTCTATTCTCTCACTTTCCTTGACAAGTCACTGCTAGTGATCCATAAAACACACTAAGCGCTGTTGGCCCATTGAAGTTACTAAATGCTCTTCTTGCTCAAATCCAACATGCAACTTTGACCATTGAGCCAGGTGGATCTTTACATGCATATGCACATGGTTACCTGCTAAATCTTATCAATGAAATTAAATGATTTAAAGAAAACCAACTATTCTACTCTCTGGATGCTTTGAAAAACAAATCAAACAGAAAGTTCTCTCTCACACGCCACGTTGAGAAATTGACCATGTCATTCTCAGACATCATGTGTTTTATTATGTACAAAATCTCTCTTCTCTCTCTCAAATTTGAAAATAAGCTTTTTATGAATATCATTTTCAAATTTCAATGGCCTAAATCCAACTACTACCGAGTACTGGCTTACAAATAAAAAAAAAACAACTACCACGTAACTAATCCCTCAACAAATGAATCCAGCTTGCTCAATGAAATGGAGCACCTCAGTGGGCCATGATCAAATATATCAGGGTACTAGATGATTAATTGTTGCAGAGCTAACCCTTGCAATTTGCAAGAATCAGATGGAAACAAAGAAATCTCATGCATCAAAATGATCGGAAATGGGTCCTTGTCCAGTGAGGTAGGCAGTGACTACTACCAGGTTTGATAGGGTTTATATTGATCAAATTAATTTATTAATTATACTTGAAGAAATTGAAGAATGACATAACAACCACCATTTGTTCTAAACTTCTTATAAACCCATGATTTCAATTTGGAATGTTCATGTGGGACCCTTTATGGTTAACACGTGGTAAATTGGTGGCGAAGAAGCCCCAAAGACCAGGTACTGAGCACTGTTTTTTCTCTTGTTGCTTTCAAGGGCATAAAAATCAAATGGGACCAAAACAGAAGCAGGGCCGTAAAGCCCCTATCAGATTGTCGTTGTAATTCCTCGTTCAGGAACATAGGAATGTAGGCATGTAGCCCCCAGAAGACCCTTTTTCAGAAATTAAAAAAAAAGAAAGAAAGAAAGAAAGAAAAATCCAGACCCTTTGAAATCCAGCAAGTAGACAACAAAGCCCAACAATACAGATCAGCAAGATATGAAAGAAAATGTGGAATGGAACTTTTTTTCTTTTTCTTCTGTAAAAATTTATAACCTCATTTTAGCTTTTCAATGTAGATAACAGAACAATGGGTGATGTTCCTCTGAGGTTCTCAATCTACAATCTATTGTCTTCTAGTGTCTTGGCGGTTTGGTCTCCCTCACAGCTTGGAACCAGACATGTTAAGGCGGGAGAAGTGTGCTGTTGTTATTTTTTCTTTTCTTAGCTTAGCTTTTAATCTAAGCTTCTCTCTTGAAGATTTTTTTTTAGGGAAATGGGTTTTGCAGCCTGGAACTTTTGAATGCATTTTCCTATTGGTTCTGTGAAATTTTTTTACCTTTTATGGGTTTTCCTGGTTTTTCTGGGCCTTAGTCTCTAATCTGGTTTCTTTTCCTGAATGTGTTGCCTTAATTTTTAGTTAGCATCTTATTCTCTTTACTCTTTTGAAGGGATTCTGATTATTTTCCATACTGTCATCTTTACTGTAACTACATAGAAATTTATAGACTGTTCTGCTCCCGGAGTTTTGAGTTCCGGAAAACTTTATTTTTTTTTCTTTAAATTTTGAGTTCAGGCATTGTTTGTTCTTGTGGTTTTATGGGCTCTTTTCTTTCTGGATTATTTATATTGCAAATTGGAGCACAGCGGAAGTTCAACGAACTTGAGTGGTGATTTTTTTTTTTTTTTTTTTTTAATTTGGGAGGGTGAAAATGGATTTATGGGTTGTTGCAGCAGCTGCTGGTGCTGGATATCTAGCCAAGTATTGGCAGAGCCTGACGAAGGACAGAGAAGGGCTATCCCAATTGCTTGCAGGAGACTCCCTGCATGAGAAATTTCAATCCCAGCCATTGCTGCAACAGCTGCGTGACCGGACCAATAACTTATACAGATTGGACCAGAGACAATCAAGTGAAGACATTTCTAATGGTAAGGAAGAGTTTTCATCGAATTCGGATTGGAGGTTTCCAGAAACATCCCGGTTAGGCGGTGCTTCGGCAACAGAAATGGCGTCAACCGGTGGATTCTATGAGGCAGCCAATTTCGGGGGGTATGATGGCTACAATTTGCTTTCTTTATCAAGTTTACCTCTGGGGATCTCTAACATGCATCATCAGAAGAATGAGGATGGATTCAAGGGAAAGAGTGAGATTGGTGATAAATCCGACAGTTTTTTATCTTCTGAACTTTCTACAGCAGATGTGAATTTCGGTTCTAGATACAGTAGAAGTAGAAGACTTAGAAGCAAATGGTCTTTTGGGTATTCTATTAAACCTCTAAGTTCTTTAGAAAGCTGCCTTATAGCTCAGTTGTACAAGGAGCACATTGAAAGGGAAGAATGTACCTTTAGACGTCCATCACGACGTAAATCAACCGTCAGGCCACTTGTTGTGACTGATGGAAGCCGAATAATTAGCAGAGCAAGTGGTGAGTATTACAGCATGCGACCTGAAAGTGAAGCAAATAAGGTGCATGAGAAGGGTGGAGTGTACTCCGAAAAAGAGAAGAATGTATTAGGGGTGCCTTCACTTCCAGAAATTGGTTCGGTGGAGCTTCCAAAGAAAGATAAACAGAAAAGGGGAAAGGATTGGATTGGAAGATATGGCAGTTCCAATTTGAAGATCTCTCCAAGGAGCTTCCATTCAGATGGTAATACTTTTTTCTTGTGTTCTTCATATACTTTCCTGGTGTACTATTTTTTTCTTCTTTTCTTTTCTTTTTTTTTTTCAGAACCGACTTGTGATCTGGTTTTAAAATTTGCAATTATGCAATCTGCTGATCTTGCAATTATAATTATATAATGGGTGCCTGTTCTCAGATGTATATTTCAAGAATTAACCTTTAAATTTCAGAACTAAATTTTGTCTGACTGTCAACTTGAAAGCCCTGAACTTTTTGTTCTTCTGATTCCAGCATCTTTTACTTTGCAAATTGCAAGAGTTTACATTTCTGAGAAAAATGAAACCAGCTTTTGGATAAAGGACATTCTTTTCTCATCAATAAGATTTCTAGGTTATTTCTATAGGTTGTCAATTTACACTCTTGTTCTTTATTTATTTATTTATTTTGACCACACAAAGGGACCTATCCTACATTTGGAGATCTAAAGGGGCATTTTTTTGTTTCAAATAAAAAAACATACATGTATTTAAGAAATTTGGTTTTGTTTTTATCATCCTTTGTGCTTGGGGTGGTAGTTCTCTGAATCTGAGATCTATAAGATCCCACATCAATGTATTTGAGATGAATATGTTTTTAGTCCATTTAACAAATGTCAACAATGCTTGGTGTTAGTTGGTTGTGCCTCTGGTGTTGGGCAAATTTTATAGCTTTTTGTTTGAGAAGTTACCAAAAAAAAAACAAGAGAAAATTGCTGATTACTGTCAACAATAATTACAGCTCAAGAGAAAATATGTAGCTGCTTTCAATCTATATTGCATATAGAATGAGTTAAATGAAGAATAGAAAAAAGAAAGAAAAGGAAAAGAAATCCATATTGCAGCTATTAATGTTTAAGTTTATCCTTCTGGCAAGACAAATTTTGTTACTTGTTACATTGACTCAAATTAGTAATATCTATATAATTAAATAATCTAAAATTTTCAATTACCCTCTATATACTTATCGGGTGAGGTCTTCCTTGATTGGAAGTTCTGAGTTTCCATGTTCTACTTCCTATATATTAACTATGCTGCTTCTTCTTTTTATTCTATCTTTATCATGTTTTAGTATTTGCTATCACTCTACTTATCAAAAAAATATTTGCTATCATTCTCAACAGGGTCACCCAATGGAATGCTTCCCTTTTGTATTGGAATCACTATTGGTGTGATGTCTACTATCATTGCAAATAAAAGGGAAGTGGACAAATTAAAGGACTTGTTGAAACAGACTGAAAACTTGGTTCAAGATCTACAGGAAGAGCTTGAGATGAAGGACTTGCTAACTGTGAAGGAGCTAACTAGTGATGGTTATGAATCTCAGGAAACTAAGGACATTTGTTTTCATTACCAGGCTCCAGCTTCACCTCCGGAACACAAGCTAGATGAATATGTTGGATGTGATACTATAGAATCACATCATCAGAAATTTGATGAGAATTTGGACTCAATGAGCAAAATTGAAGCAGAGCTTGAAGCTGAACTAGAGAGACTTGAACTTAACATGAACGCATCTAGTTTACAGAGAAGTTTTGAGGAGGTATGCTTTGATTTTGAGCCTAGACACTCTTCTTCATAATAGCCTTTATAGTCACTGCTTAATACCCAGACGCCATGATGGCTATGCTTTTCTATTATTACCTTTCTCCATAACGTATAACTTGGATACATTTTAGGTTTTAATCCCTGTGTGGGGAGGGGGGGGGATTAACATTTGTTTTTGCTTTTGAATTCCCAAAATGAACCATGCTGCCAAGTGCTCTTTTTCTTTTGATGAATATGCTGTCAAATGCTTTTTATCCAATAGGTAACGGAGTTAAGAGGATTAATTGACTCAGGACTTATCTGTGTAGCAGTCCAACGAATACATCTCACCGTGGGTTGAAAAACTCATAAGATTCAATATTTCTGGATCAATTCTATAGTGGAAAGCTTAATGTCAAATTAGGATGTCAATTCCCTATCTTACTCCGCAATGATAAACTTTCTGCTCATAAATATTGGATAAAGATGGGAAGCAGATGTTCCATCTAGAATGAAGTAAAATTCGTACAATCATCCAGTTATGACTTGAAAGGATGGAAAAGCAGTCAGAAGCATGTAGGTATTACAATAAATCCCCGTAAAAATCTGAAAGCGTATCCCAGGATTGTTGAACTCCAATATAACCTAATCCTCAACCCTAGCTTCAGAAAAACTATTAGCCAATGAATTTTCCCATTTTCAGGCAGGTTTAAATGAGATGTTCAGTGTAGAGCCAAAGGAATCAGGTTATTATGATGACTTTAGTTTTTGAAATTTATGGATTGGGAGAGAGCAGAATTTTTGAAATTTCCAGAATTCTGACACTTCATTCTGGTTGGTGGGGGGCTGTCCAAGGTTAAGGGACAGACTGAAAGAGGTTGAGAGAAAAAAAAAAAAAAAAGAAGACATAGGGTAAATAAAAAGTAAAACCTTTATGGAGTCAATATCTTTTTCCTGAAGTGTTATCTGGAATGTCAAGATGTCGTTGAATTTCCAGAAAATGTGTTAGTTCCTGAGAAAAAAAAATAAAAACATTTCCAGAAGCTGCTTTTTTTTTTGGGGGTGGGTGGGGGTAGGGGGGTGAAACAGCAGCTGAAACTTAAGGCCAAATTGAAACCTTTCCTGATCAAGTTTCCTCTCTTTTGGATTGTCATGGAGCCTTTAATTCTTCTTCTAAGATTACCTTTTGTGTAAAGGGATCATGAGAGACTTCAATGGAATCAATACATATATTTTGTTTACTGAATTGAAAGTTGTGGATGGCTCCATGATTCATTTTCAGGAAGATCATCAGAGACTGAGACGCCTCAACAGAACTTAGCAAGCTTTTGATAGACTACTGTATTTCTACTTAAGTAGGGAGACCTTTGACTTTTACTCATTGCAAGGTGAACTGGTGGACAGTGGTTTGGAATCCCTTATTTGAAACACCACTGTTGAGTAGGGATATCAAGTGTTGTCTCTCTCTTTCTAATGCTTAAGGCCTTAATGTTGCCTTGAGCCCATCAAATAGAACTTTTCATGGGTCAGGCTTGAGCCTGAAGCCTGACCTGTGAACTGGTCCATCAAATATGGCTGCATTTGGAAGACTGGTACCTTCCCAAGATTGAGGCCTTTATGTGGTTGGTTTTCCTTGATAAGGTGATGCAGGCATGGAGCAAAAAAAAAAAAAAAAAAAAAAAACTATGGAAGAAGGAATCAAGTTTCTTCATAATTTTGCACCAGCGGCAATCTTGTAATTTTGGGTGATTTGATGCTGGTATTTTTTTATTTTTCAGAGTTACTTTGTAGTTTGTTAGTATCCAAGACATCGGTTTAATCATCTTAAAAGATTAAAATAGTTCATTTTGTTATAGAGATTTTATAATTTGGAAAACTTGAAGCATCTATTTCGAGTTTTGACTTAAAGTTGTCTTTCAAAAGAAGAATCAATCTAGATGATAAAACTTGGAATTTCTAACCTTTTGTTACTTGATCAAGCTTTTCTAACTCCTAAAAACCCTAAATTGTTCTGAAAAAAAAAAAAAAAAACTGGAACTAATTCCAACAGAATATTTAGTTACTTGCTAAACATGAGTTCTTTGGGCTAGATCATGGTCTTGCTCTAAAACCTATTTGGATGCAAGTATTTTGACAATACCAACTGTTGGAATTGTAAAAAGCATTCACGAAGAAATATTCAACTGAGGCAATGAAGGCTCCTATATATGCATTGTAGCAACTTGTACTTACAAATGAGAGTGAGGGATGTAGGCATCAGTTTCCTGAATCACTATTATTATGCTATGCTTTTTTTATTTCTTTTTCTTTTCTGTTGTTTCCATTTTCAGTGACAATTGAGAGCATGTACTTAATGCAAACAAAATTCCTCATCAATCTGGGTTATTCCATCAATTTAGAGAATGTATCCATAAATCACAACATCAATATTTCAAACCATATAACTCAAAGAAATCATTAATGGAGAATATATTCTACAAAAATGTATTTGATGTATTCTTGTTGATGGGGAAGTAGTTAGGCTGTGGCCACATATGTGCTACAATGGCAATTACAATGGGAAGCAAGGATACGAAGCAGAGCGAATCTGGTAAGATTGCTTCAGTTCATATTGTTCTCTGCAAATCAGGAACATGAAGTTGGAACTACTAGTAATCGTGGATTTGGGTTGAGCTGGAATTAAAGGATCAATCGACAATTCTCCTGAAATCTGGCATTTTTGAAATTCAGAAATTAATTTGGCATTTGGATTCATCTAAGTGGCAAGATGGAACTCATAGATTGTGACTAATCAATCAGGATCACTAGGGAAATAATTCCAAATGTTGCCTTTCTTCTCACTCCATTATTATTCTGTATTATATAAATTTGAAACTGGTTCCTGCGTCCATCTTTAATAAGATGCATGTTTAGCAGGTATAATAGTTTTGATTATCTGATTGCAGCTTGATCCAGACTTTGTTGGAGGAATTATTCACGGAGAACTGAAAGCAGAATTGGTCAATGGAGGAGCTAGGGACCAAGTTGACTCGGACAGAGATGTGAGTGGCACCTCCACTCAAACCCAGACCGCAAACTATGCTGTCTCACCTCGAGAGCTGAGCTTGCGTCTTCATGAAGTCATTCAAGAAAGGCTGGAGGAACGTATCATGGAGCTTGGGACAGCACTACAACAAAGCCAAAAGCGGGTCCATGTTATGGAATCAGAACAGATTAACTGGAGGAGGGAATTCAACAGTGAAATAGGATCTTCATCTGCCCTAGAAAGCCCAGCCATGGTAGAGGAACATGCTAATATTGCCCGACCATTGGTTCTAAACCTATCTGGTGAAGCACTTGATGCATACAATGAAGCATATGAAGAGTTAATGAGAATAGACGAGCCAGAAGAGAGCATATCGTCCTTAGAGCATAAAAGTAACAAGGTTGAGCAAGAGGGATTATATCCATTTGGTCAGAGTCCTTATTGGTGCCCTAATGGATGTGGAGAATATGAGTCCATCTCTGACTATAAGGTCATCGAAGAAAGCCAGTCATGGAGTTCTGTTCGTCATAAGGTCAGGACATGGGAAGAGCTGATCTCAAGGAGTCAAGGATCAAATGAGGCTTGTGAGAGTGAAAATGAAGAAGATGATGAAATGGAAAAGCTTTTGATAAAGCAGATAGTAGAAAAAGCTAGGCAAGGTTCTTCTGTAGTTCTAAATGCTCAAAAAATGCTATTCTCAATGGATGAAAACCATCAATAGAATGGAAAAGAAGTTTTGTATTGTATAGAGCAAAAGAAAAAAGGAAATCTTATGACTTATCTCCTTTGCACTGCAGTTAGCACCTTTTCCTCCCCATTTTTTACCCCTGAATCAATTTTTGTTTACCAATCCAGGGCATCCATATATGTTCAATCCCCCTCCCCTAAAATTGCCCAGGAAAAAAAGAGCTTACCATGGTGATGGAAAGTTTCAATTTTAAATTAAATTTGCTGAAAAAGGGAGTTGATTTGGCCAAATCCCAGTGGGTGCTGAATTAGGTTGAGAAATCCATATGAATGTGCTGCATATGATATTCTGATAATGTTCAATACCTATTGATGGTTGATCGCAATAGGAAACTATGGTACAACTGATTCATACAAATTGGATATAGGCTTGAATTATTCTATTAGAATGCTTTATTACTAGTCCAGAGTACACATTTTATTTTATTATATTTTATTTCTGTTTTAAGTGCCTGAAGAAACTATACTTCTGTATGTTTGAAAAGTTAGATCATGAAGGTAGAATTTGCAGTTTTGAACACATATAGAATTTCTAGGTTCATTGACTTATTTAAATAGAGCTTAATATAACGTCATTAAGTTAATATCACAAATCATGGTAACATTTTGGGGTCTTTGAAAATAAGCAATTGAATCAGATTTTAGGAATAGCCCAAACCGTAAGGTTGAGCATTCCCATCACTCTGCTTACAAAAATTTACCTTAATCCAAGAGAGAGAAATAGGCCATGGTATATCTAATTTACCTGCTTCATCTTGTATATATATTGAGAAATAAAAACATGACAAATATTCATACTAGTTGAATCTTCCCTCTATCATCATATATGCTACTCTAGAAACAAAAAGTGAAGAACCGTATGGTGATTCCCTTGCTCTCATCCTTGCCTCAAGAGTTGCTCCATACTGTTAAGAGAAAGGCTGATGATAGCCTGTCAACCTGCCATACCACGTGTACTAGTGTCTTCTAAATGATAATTTCTTGACTAATAACTATGATCTTCTGGTTCACCAAAGCAGAATGCGCACTAATCTCTAACAATATGGCTAGGTTGCCTCTTTTTTTTTTCTATTTTCAGTCAAAGCGGTATGACCCAAACCCAGTACTATGTTGGCAGGCAGTTGTCAAGATCAACACCAACGAGATGAAGTATGAAACAATGAAGGACAGAGACTCAAAGAGGTAATACTTATCTTCTCATGTGTTTGAGAGAAATTTCTTAAGATCATCTTTTCTTCTGTTCATTCACTTCAAAAGCATTTAAACATTTTCTTCATCTGGGATCCAACGGGGTTTACTGGCAGATAAAACGAAGCTATTATCTCCTATCTTTTCATGCCCCACCACAATAAGAAGGAAGAGAGGATGAAGGTGAACGAAAAGGGTGAAATACAAGAATTTCAATGAAATGAAGTTGGAATGTTGAAAAATAGTCGATATTGCCACGAAGGATGGAAGAGTGGGCATTAAGAATTTAAATGTCTAGACTCCATGAGATGCTGGGAGTTGTTCATTTCATATTCCAATTCATAAGAAATCGGATTTGGTGCTCACAAAATTGTGCTCACACCGTTCTCACATCTCTTTTCAGCCATGGAGAATATCTCTCCATGAATAAAAACATACAAGTATAGAGATATTCCTAATGCACGGTTGAAAAGGGTTGTGAGAAAGGTGTGAACACAATTTTGTGGACTGAATCCACTCTTCTTTCATAAAACCCTAGTATTCAAACTTTGACATAATAATGGAAAAAAATGTTTTGATAAATGCTTCTTGAAAGGGATGTGAGAACGGTGCTCACATCCCTTTTTAGCCATTCATTGAGAACATCTCCCCATGAATAAAAACATGCAAGTATAGAGATATTCCCAATGCACGGCTGAAATGGACTGAGAGAACAGTGTGAATACAATTTTGTGGACTAAATCCACTCTTCTTTCATAAAACCCTAGTATTCAAACTTTGAAATAATAACAGAAAAAAAGAATTGATAAATGCTTCTTGAAAACTAATACGCCAATCACCAGGTGGCCTTCATTCCATAACAGCAGTCAAATGTCATCATGGATTATTCAAAACCTATTGTAAAAGGGAACCCAATAGCCAAGACCCTAGCCTTTTACCAGTGTTCTTTTATTTCCTAGGTAAATGTGTATAATGACCGATTTATTCAAAACAGTGATATCATTGAAGGGCAATACCATCTCATAATCTCGTCAAATATTAACGAAAGTATTACTTCTAAGGGTGTCAATGGACCAGTTTTGGATTAGACCCCATCCAGTCCAAAATCAATTTGGATGGATTGAGCGGACCAATAAGATATATTGGATTGGACCAAACTGGTCCAAAATATTTATTAGATGGATTGGACCTGGTCCATTCGTAACAAATTTATATTGGATTGGGTTGGGCTAAGCCAATATCTGGTCCATTGATATAAGATAAGAATATATGTGTCAAACTGTCAATAGACCAACTTTGGGTTGAAACCAATCTAAATCAAAATGAATTTGAACAGATTGGACGGTCCAGACATTGAATTAGATCGATCCAAATTGGTCCAAAATTTCATTGGACTGGACTGGACCTGATCCATTAATAATGGGCATGCATTGGACTGGATCGGATTGGACCAAATCCAATCCAATTGACACCCCTAATTACTTCCCCATGGAAATGGTTTATCCAATTCTAAGGAAAGTATTATTTCCCCATGGAAATGAGTCATTCAGTAATCTTTATTTTTTGCAGGGCCCACCGACACCAGAAAATGAATATTGGTTTGTTTTCTGGGGTGGAGTGCAGTCTATTTATCCCTATTTATTACTTTCTATAGAACCTTTACCTAACAACTTACCTGCCCCTCCTTCCTGAAAACATAAAGAACTAGGCCATTATGAAAATGGGTCCCCAAGTTGTGTTGAGACCATAAGAGATGGAAGCAGACCCCCTACAGAGGGTCTTAGAACTTTGGCATTTTAGAGGGCAAATCTTTAACTACCTGCTGCCATGAATTACTCGTTTGAAGCACCTCAAAAAACAGGTTCAGACAGGCGTCAACATACGATAGCATTATACCATATGTCAACAGACTTGAGCAAGATGCATTTTATTCACATTAATATTTTTGAAAACTTTCAACCGTTGTGAACGTATTCCACCGGATCCCGACTCGGAAAGAATTCACATCTTGTATTGGGGATGTTCCCAATTCTCGCTGAGACCTGAGATGATGTTCCTAATTCACGCTGAGATGTGCACTCACTAGGAAAATCTACCCCAATCACAATGGTAGAGAGATCCTCAGAGGTTGATTCCAGAAAAGGCAATCTCTTATCAGACTACCGGGCGCAAAGTCCCCTCTAGCTGGAGGTCTCCGTCCTTGACAAACTCACGGGGAAAATATACGGATTTGCCTCGTCTTTCCATTGGTCCAACCCATTCCAACGTGGAGAGGGAAACTGGGATAAAACTCTGATTAAGAACAATGATGAACCAACAATAAATTGCAAATCCCATTGTGAGAGTACAATTGTACAAACTGACCTGGGACCCTTCAAAGAACCAGGTACAAAAAAGGGCATCAATTAAAACGTGAATCAAAATTCTTCTTCCCTCTGCTCTGAATGCTCTCTGATGGGGTAAAACCCTACATCTAGGACAATAACAAGTTAATTATTTAACAGCTTCAGATTGTAAACAGTTGTGTTCATATACCAAGAAAAAAAAAAGTAAACCGGATGAAAGAAAAAACAGGTCAAACTATGACAAATATCCAACCAGGGACCAATTCTCTCTGAAGCAGTAGCGCCATAGGCCATAGGCCATTGGCTTGTCTCTTAAAAGGATGTATGATATCAGGCCTCCTTCTTGTTGGCATAGTCGGCAGGCTCATCATCATCGTCCCTAAAATTTTCATCATCCTGGCCATATCCAGCACCCATGCCGCCTTGGGTTTGGGTACCATTATATTGATCACCACCATCGTACGATGTACCAGCACTGCCACCATATCCTCCGCCACTTGCAAAGCTGTTCTCACCCCCCGCACCACTACCAACATAATCACCGCCTCCGCTACCACCAGCAACACCGTAATTGCCACTGCTGCTAACACCACCACTTCCACCATACCCGCCACTACTGCCTCCACTTGAGAAATTGTCACCACCATACCCACCACCGCCATAGCCACCACTGCCACCACCTCCATAGCCACCACCACCATAGCCACCTCCACCGTAGCCACCGCCACCACTGCCACCACCTCCATAGCCACCACCACCATAGCCACCACCGCCATAGCCACCTCCACCATAGCCGCCACCACTGCGGAATCCTCCAGACCTATCAGTTGCATAATTTACTTTGACCCTTCGACCATGAAGATCCTGGCAGAAAGGGCAATCATCAATCATAAAATTTCCATTCCTAGCACTGATTAATCAACTCCAAGCATTCCTTCAAAAGGAAAAGTATTGTAATATCAACACATGGCAACCTCATAACTGATTGACTGATTGTGCACAACAAAGACCTTCACAATCTGATCTAGAAAATGCATTGTTGGGTATAATTAATTTTATCTTTCCCCCAAAGGGCCCAAACCAAGGAAAAAAGCAGCGCATTTTTTATCATCAAAGCAGTACAAATTATGTAACAAGGGCACCCTAATAACACTGTCAAATACACCTAGCATGAACCTGAATCAGCATTTCAACTTGGAAAAGAAATCCTATAATTTACATGTATTAGGAATGGTTACGTTGAATATGGGATAAGAAAACAAATAACAATTTAATAGAGTGATGATCCAGCAGGAACAGTACAGAGTTAACAGTAAAAGCCCTACCATTTTTCATCACTACTTGGCTCAGAAATTTGGAAAGTAACAAATTTGTTAAATGCCTCAATGTTTTAAACAATAAACAAACATCTTAGGGCCTGCATATCATAGTCAACATAACCACTACTATTGGATAATTTAAAATATATCACCAACACAAAATATACAGGCACACCAGAATTGCTCAATTATTTATTTCCATACCATGTCTAATCATGAGGTACATGATCAATGTGCCAGTACAAGACAAGATGATAAAACCACTCAATAGTAGTACCTGTCCATCCAAAGCCTGAATAGCACTGGAAGCCTCCTCGCTAGATGTGTAAGTAACAAATCCAAAGCCTCTGGATCTACCAGTCTCACGATCCACAATCACTCTTGCTGCAAAGAATATTATGCTTATCAAGAACATAACAAATATGATGAAATCATTTTATTCATAAATAAAACTATAAAAGGAAGACAACCTTGAACAACATTTACATGCTCAATCAAAAAGCAACCATTCATTCCCCTCTGCCATGAGCATATTTAGACATGTAGGCAAATCAAATTCAGCTCATGATTTATTCATATTTCAATAATTGTATCACGCTTAATTAGACTCTAATATCTTCTATGTAATTTCATTCTGTTACTTAGATATGCATTTGTCAGTTTCAAACAGAATTGATGCATGTATTTATTAGAAAGAGTTTCATGCTGCCAAAATATATGCAAGCTTAACACATTGCAAGCCAAAGAGGGGGAAGGTTCAGCATATGTTCACCATACAAGTTTCAAGGGGGATAAGCACAACAATAGAGGTCCTGAAACTGACTCATATCATCAAAAGATATGCCAGAATGAAGTTGGCATTTCAATAGCAACATCTTTACTCTTTCAATTTTCAAATTAAGGACCCTCTTTACCTTAAAAGTTAGTTCATATGGGTAGTGTCATACATAATGCTTAAATATAAACGTAATTCAAATTCATGCAACCATGTCATGCAGAGACATGATTTTACCTCTGATAACGGTAGACAGGAATGTTTAGCATACATTACATATAGGCTACATATTTCAGGCTTTACAGCCTCTGGCAACCCTATTGGCCCATGGTACAACAGGTTTCTACTCTGTTTTACCCAAGGGGACCAGCCCTTCCAGTCCTCCTAGGATAACAGTCAATTTAATACTGGTTCTAGTAGAGCTTTGTCAGTCCAGGCAACAGGACTGAAAAGAAGGGAGCAAAAAGTTAAAACATCATGTACCTTCAATGACCTCCCCATATGCAGCAAAAGCTTCCCTGAGACTCTGGTCATCTGTGCTGTATGAGATACCTGCACCATCAAATTTTAGAGCATCATAACACAGTAACCATGGAAATAAGCTATGAGTACATCCAGGGAGTATGAAAGAACGAACCTCCAACAAAAAGTTTTGAAGATGACATGCATCTTATGGCTTGGAATATAGATGGATTAGATGCTGACAATTCTGAATTAACTTGTTTTCCTATTGTCTGTTTAAGTAGACTTCCAACTTTACTAAGGAAAGCCATTGTTGGAACCTATAAGAAAAACACAAGCAAAGAACATTTGCTAGATTTCTTTTATAGACAGATGGAAATGGCATTGACACAAAGAAGTGAAAGAACTTGTACAACCTAGCAATAATCATTACAAAGTCAATTATTGGAAATAAAATACAAAGAGAAGAATCAAGCAGTGTTCCATGGAATATGGACAAGCGACTTGAAATAAGACATGTATCAAGGAGTCTGAATCAAAAAGATGATATAAAATGGAGCCAGGCACATGTATAGGAAAAGTATATATTATTAATTAAAATAGTCTATAGGTTTTGAATTCTAATGCTGTCAACGGTCAACCCATGGAAAATGTTCTAAAATCTTATCTTGGTAATGTTCTAAATAAAGAATGGCAATCATCATGTATGTTATCTGTTTGAGAAATCGTAATTTTAACATGGAAATATTCCTCAAAAATCGCAATGCTGGAATCTGATAGATATCCAACATTGACACTTCATCCATCTAGATAGTTCATGCAGGACCAACACAAGATTCTACATATTCAACCGTTCACTCATGAAACTCCCCAAAAGCAACTATCTTAAATGGCATCTATATCACCATAACAATACTAAATTCTGAGATACAGCACAATATGTAAACATAGCAAGTGCCTGGACCCCAGAGTAAAGCAGTTCAAGTTTACACAAAATAATAACTCTAAACCCTAAAGAATCAAGGACTAACTATGTCCAGAAAATAATAGTAAAACAGGCGGTTAAGAAAGGGGGGAAATTAAAGAACGAAAGAAAGATAATAGCAACACTTCCAAGTTGCCGGATGTAATCAAATGCACACTGGAAGCAGCTTGAAAAGAAAATTGCAGAACAACAGTGCTCAACAAGCTTTACACATACACATCCACTAACAATCTTGATCGACAAGTAGTTTCTCTCCACAGTTAGATAAATAGAACAAACTACGGGTTGAAAGTAACGAATAAGCTTATCTAACCTACACTAATATCATGGTAAACACCACCCTGACAGCCATATTTAAAAAATAAAAATAGAAAATCATAAACATAATAACTCGGAGAAACTGCAGCTGAATGAAACCCTAGATTAGTAATAAGCATACATATAGAGTAGTGATGATTAATAGATGCGGAATCTACACAGAAAAATTAAAAGAAGTTACTGAAACTTCAATCCGTGGAAAATTGGAAAAGAACAAAAAATAATCTCAACAAACATAGGACTTCTAAGGAGCTCGAAGTGAAAGTGAGAAGGAGAGCTCACCTTCGAGAGGTTCGTCGAGTTCTGATGTCTCCCCTCTCTGGCTACTGCTGCTACTTCTTCCCTAAAACCCTTGGGTTTGATCGAGGAGAGTTTACGAAATGTCAGGATGGGTTTATTTATTGGAATTTAAATAAATCTGGTCCGTTCGAATTATATTATAGTAAAACCAGACCGTTCGATGGAACCCGTAACATCGATGTGATCATTATTTAGAGGAGTCCTCGGTATCGCTCCTGTGATTTTTGTTTTTTCAGGGGCCGGCCAATTTTTTTCATTTTACTATTTTTAGTTTTCACACACTCCCCGTTGCCAGTGACATCACAATTCACATATATATTGGTCATAACGCAAAAAAAAGACATACATACATGATACATCCCCTGGGTTGTGTTTGGTTTATTATAAAAAATAAGATCGAAATGGAAAATTATAAATTCCTCAATTATTTGAGTTTCACTCAGGGCCCGTTTGGCAAGTCCTTTTGAGAAGATCTTTTCATAGTTCTGACAGCCAATAGATGCACTGAGCTTTTGACATAAGATTTGAGTAGCCTGAAGATCATTTGGCAGACGTGCATCGTTTCGAGTCTTTTCGTGCGAGATTAAAACGTGAAAGACACAGGGAAGTTTCATTTGGAGTTTCCCGACATCAGCCCAAAATGGGTTTCGTGCGTCTTTTCGGCGTTGCATCTTTTGGCGGCTAAACCTTCCGCATGCCAAATGGGAATAGACCGACTTTCGATCTTCCCGACTTGTAAACAGCCGAAAGGCCATGCCAAACGGTGCCTCAAATTTCTTTTTATCTCTTTGTCGGGTAAGGTAAGATAGACAAACAAGGCCTTGATGGGTGTGAATGGATAAAGTTGGGGTTGGAATCAAAATCAGTTTGAATAGATTGAAAGGACCAATAAAACATATCGAATTGGACCATACTAGACTTAATGGTTGAAAGTATTTATTGGATTGGATTGAACCTGGTCCATATGTATTAGAATCTTATTCGATTTGGGTTTGATTAAACCAACATCCAATCCATGCATAAGATAAGAGCTCAATGGACCAAGTTTGAGTTGAACCCAATTTAAAAACTAGGGATAAGTAGATTGTACTCCACCTCAGAATTTTGAATTCTATTACAGGCCTATAACAATTCAAAATTTCAAGCACCTCCATCCTAAACACCAATTCTCACCCATAGCATAACACCTACCCCAATTGTACGGTGGAGCTAAGAATTATGGGGGTGGACTGAATAATAAGAAACCCCTTTAAATTAAAACCAATATAAACAATTTGAACGACCTAGACATTAAATTGGATTAGACAGGTCAAAATACTCATTGGATAGCATCAAATTTGACCGATATCTAGGCGATTGACAACCTTATCGGTGGTGTGAGGTTGGTAATTTCTCCAACTAGAATTTATAATGAGTATATTTATATGTGATTTTGCTTTAAAATTTAAGACCACTGCATTGAGGAGTTGGGATTTTTTTTCAATAAAACATATTCCAACACTCTATTAACATAATCTGACATCACACACCTCACCATTAGGCTGGGACCCACCATAAAAATTGGACCTGCCATGTATGAGATGTGTGGTGTTTGATCATGTTGGTAGGGGTTGAAATGCATTTTATTGGCAAAAGATCCGGACTTCACATTGAGGCATTGAGCATTTAATGAATTTGGTTTTGCTTGAAAAGGGGGTAAAGGAGGTAGAGATGATTTGACACTGTGGTTGTGTTTATTTTAGGTGTAAATTCAATTTTACAGGGATTCAGTAATGGATCGAAGTTGGAAACGGTTGTTTTTGAGTATTTACACCAAACATGTTTGTTTGTGAAGGTGTAAATTTTGGTTGGAAAATTTTGTTTGTTTTTGAAATACACATGGTGTAAATTTCCAACCATACACCAATCATTTTCTAAATGCATTTAGCAACAGTCCTATATGATGCACAACAATCTTGATCCAACGGTTCCCACTATAGTATATCGTGTCCAAATATAGTCGTCTGAATAGGTTTTAGCCTATAGCCTTGTAGTCTGTAGTCTGTAGTCTGTAGCTTGTAGCAGATGCATCGTTGCTCACCATTTGTCATTTGACGTAGCCTATAGCCTGTAGACTTTGGCTATTTCCTCCACGAAAAAAATATCAAAGAAAATGGCTGCCAAGGCGGAGGCGTCTAAGAGGCCAATCGGGCAGCAACCAGCAAGCAGGAGGCGTGGCTCACCCACGGTGCATTTTACCCTTTCTCTCTGAAAATCATGGCTGCCAAGGGATTTGTTTTAGTGGTTTCGTCACTTACTTCACCTTGTATTGCTAAACAGAAGCCCAAAGCTTCCGCCGTCAATGTGGCCAAGGTCGCCACCACCCAAGTGAGAGAGATATTTGAGAGCGGTGTCGTCGACGAGAGAAAAACCACGAGCATATACATTAGAGTGAAAGGAGTTTTCCTTCAATGGTAGAAACACAGGTAAGTTTTTATATCCATAATTTTAATGTATTTTTTTACATGTAAAAGTATTTCAAAATAGAGTTTTACACCGATTTACAATGTATATATACACTATCCAAACATTTAAAAAATCGAACCGATATATAAAATTTACCCCGGTTCGATTTTACACCTCAAACAAAGATGGCCTATATTTTCTTTGAACTTCAATTAATACTGATTCCACTTACCATTACATGATCTAGAGTTATATGCATCCTTTTTTATGAATTAATTCAATTAAATTAAGCATATGTAATTTGATATGAGCACTCATGTGTGTTCTGCTTTCCATCACTTGGAATGTGACGATATAAACAAAGTGTCAAATGTTTAAAGGCATGAACCCATGTTTTTTTATTCCCCTAAAACTTCATATCAAGCTTCTATAAACAAATAAGGTTTGATTTTTATATCTATTAAAAAAATGTTTGGCTTTAGTAGGATGAAGAAGAGAAAGCATTGGCATATAGGGTTCTTCGTTGTCAATGGTTTGTATTCCTTCTTCAAATATATAACAAATTTTATTAAACATGGTTTTAGTTTGCGTTTTACAAGGGACAAGGATGGCATTCTTATTTTTGTTTTTTGTAGAAATTAAATTTGTTTGAAGGGATATCAAGGTCAAAACTGTTTCCCATTCCAAATAGATACTTATCACACTTTGTCAATATAAAAACATTCAAATCAACCATTTAAGCACTCAAATAGTATTCATAAGTCCCACTTACACAAAATATTAAAATAGGCTCCACTCATACATTCATTGACACATTTACTAAACACACTGTTTGGTCATATATCATAATCATCTATTCATAAGAAGCAACTTCTCAACATATTAAAGTAGGCCCCACTTATGTACTCTAACACATTTACTTACACAATACCTGGTCAACAGTCTTGTATCTAGGGGTGGATTCGAGCCAAGCCGAATACTTGGCTATTCGAGCTTGGCTCGCTGAAATTGTGTTAGGCTCAAGCTTGAGCTTGACTCAATTCAAAGCTTGCAAGTTCCAGTTCAGTTTAAATCGAGCTTGATTGCAAACCAATTTTTTTTTCTAAAAATTAAAAATTATACATATAAAATTATTCTTTTATTTTACATACAAAAAATAATAATTATAAAAATTATTTACTATTGTATATAAAATATTATTATATATATAATAAAAATGATTTATTATATATTTATATGTATATGTATGTATGTATATATATAATAAAAGATTATTTATTTATTATATTAGGCTCGACTAGACTTGCAAGCCTCACGAGCCAAGTTTCACTGGGCTCGAGCTCGGCTCGATTAACAAACAAGCTTATATATCAGGCTCGAGCTCGACTCAAATAGCTTGTAAGAAACTCGACTCGTGGCCACCCCTACTTATATCTCATGATCATTTATTCCTAAGAACCAACCTTTTAGTATATCTGCACATATTGTACCTAGGTCTAAATAGAGAAGCTACAACATATATCAAAATAGAAGCTTTTTTTTCCTGCAAATCTAAGGAGTGGTTCATAATGCCACACCACAGATTGGAACAACATGTTTCCTAGGTTGGATCGGAATCCCACCCGAGTGTTACTTCCAAACTCATTTTCCATGACTTGTTCCCATAACATTGGTTCATTCCTATTGCCTTCAATACTGAAACAACTTCTCTATCTCCTAAAGCAATCCATTCTCACAAAAACTTGCCAATATTGTTTTGCATTTGCACTTGCCTTCTAACATGTTAAGCACTTCCAAAACTTCCTCAACCAGAAATTATCATTCACCATTGTAAGAAAACCTGACTTTTGTGTTGTAAGCATTGGATCCTTTGTGCATTATTATCATTCTTCACCAATTCATCAAGCCTTACTACTGTATAGTTAGAACCCAACCCAACTACTACAAGTGAAGCACTGTCTATTGTTTATCAGAAAATGGAGAGAGGCCACAACCCATTCAACTATCAAATCCTAACAAGAAAACCACAAAAAGAAGAAACCTATTGCAAGTTTGTGATGGACATGTTGAATTGTCTCCAGAACAAGTACTCAAGGTTGGATTGTACCTAAGATACTAGATGATGAGTGCTTAGGCTGCGTTTGTAAACGATGCAAATGGAGTGTAAATTTCAGTTTAGGGTAAATTTGTACTATGGTTTACTTTTGCCTGTGTTTGGCAATATTACATTTATGCATTGACAAATGACAAACCAATGCATACTGCATTTATAATAAAATGTAAAAATACATCAATAAAAAAGAAGTAAATTTGCATTCAAGTCTGTTTGGTAAGAAGGTAAATTTGTTAGTACAAAACTAACCCAACTTTGCAATCTATATGAACCGTTTTACACTACATATTTGCACCATTTTCAGTGCAGCCTTAATTGCTGTAACAGGTTCACCGGTTTGCTATGAAAAAAAAAAAAAAGTAGAGCAAGAAGAAGAAGAAAAAGACTGTAAAGAGGAAGAGAGAAATGCGCCCATATTGAGGGTTTCAATGCTCCAAGCCTCCAACAATGTGAGAGTTTGAGAAAAAAGGCCCATATTGAAAATTTTCTCACTGTGCAAGTTTTGGAACACGAACAACTTGATGTGAGAGGCCCAATAAGACACACAGCTTTGTTTCAAGCTTCCCCATTTTGGGTGTTTTTGAGCTTTCTCAGGCTTTTTTGGGCACTCAACATATGGTCTTAGGGCTTTCACATGCCAAATGGGAAAAGCTCAAAGCTTGGGTTTTTAGGCTTTTATAAATAAAAAAATTCACAAAAAAAAGACTTGCCAAACATTACTTTAAGTTGAATTTAAATGGGTATTGTGGGGACTTTCAGGGGGGAGGGGGTTGCCCTGGCTTGCATTGGAATGATTAGGAAATGACAAAAAACATAAACAACCTATAGACCCCCGATTTGCCTTAGGCAGCTACATCAATAACTCTTTCTTCTTATACCATTAACCTTCAAGCAGTCCCCAATGGGGGTAGCCCATGTTGTTGATTTCAAGAGTGTTTGATACTATTATGACAATTGTCATGCATTGAATTTTGGTAAATAACTTCCTTTTTTTTTTACATATTTTAAATTATTAATTGGTGCCACAAGGTATGGATTTACATAAACCCCAAAAAAAAATGGTGAAAATTGTTTTCACCAAAAGTTGCTCCAAAGAATGACATTCAATATTGATTGAAATAGTTTGAAAATGCTAGAAAGTAGTCATCAGTTCAATGATATATCATTATTTTTTCAAATAAATTTTGAAATGTTATTTGGTTAAATTGTTCATCAAATCAAACATTTTTTTAGGATTGTGTTAGAATCGATTACACCGTTAATCATTTTTTAGGTTAAGTTTGGAAAAAGTTTTGCAATCTATATATTTGTATTTGTATTCATCCAAACTGAATCTTAGGTAAAAAAAAGTAATGATTATCAAAGTAAAGTTATATTTTTTGACACTTTTATACTCTAAAAAGAGAGTATTACTATACCTATTTTTGGATACAAATTTGTACTCATTTGATAATTAATATTTTGACCAAAATTGAGGTATTGGAGCAGTTAATGGTGGGCCCACACCTTTACATCAATTTCAAACAAACAGAATGAATGCAAAAACTGTTTAAAATGTGAATTATATTTACATTCATAAACCGAAAAATAGGTAAATATATAGTGTACATATTGGCGTTTGCATCGCAAACAAACGCATCCTTTGAGTGTTAAAAAACGTTAAAAATGTTTATCAAAATAATTTATTTTTTCAAATTTCAAAAAAAGAAATCGTACAAAAAACTGCTTCGAAAAATGGGAACTCGAAAGTTGACAGGTTGTATTGTATCGTATTCGTATTAGCTGTGTCGTGCAGGGGACGGTTGACAGGTTACTTGTATTGTATCGTATTCGTATTAGCTGTGTCGTGCAGGGGACGGCGAGAAATTATTAGATCAAACTAAATCAACCCTTCATATATTCTCAGCTCTCTAACTCAGAAAAACAGAGCCCCAACTGACAATCATTCATCACGCACGACGGCCGCACCTCCATCAACCAAAACATGGACCGAAATCCAAAGCCCACCAGCATCCTTGAATCTCTGGGCGAAGAAATTATCAGAATCGTCGCTCCAGTTTCCATTTGCATGTTGTTAGTAGTCCTTCTGGTCACTGTCCTCGATGCCAACTCTTCTTCTGATTCGTCCTCCTTGACAACAATAGCCACCATAGCCTACAACGAGGACACCTCGGATTCGATATGGGATAAACTCAAAGGTGCCCTCTTGAATTCTCTGGTATTTGTAGCCGTTGTCACCGTGGTTACATTCGTTTTGGTCCTACTTTTCTACCTTAGATGCACAAGGTTTCTCAAACTGTACATGGGTTTCTCTGCTTTTGTTGTTTTGGGCTTTATGGGAGGTGAAATTGCACTCTTCTTGATCAGGGATTTCAGTTTCCCTATCGATTGTATCACGTTTCTGCTGGTTTTGTTCAATTTCACTGTTGTTGGGGTGATGGCTGTGTTCATGTCCAAGATGGCAATTTTGGTCACACAAGGGTACTTGGTGGTTATTGCGATATTGGTTGCTTACTGGTTTACACTTTTGCCTGAATGGACCACTTGGGTACTATTGGTTGCCATGGCTCTGTACGATCTTGCTGCGGTTCTGTTGCCTGGTGGGCCTCTGAGGCTCTTGGTCGAGCTTGCAATGTCGAGAGACGAGGACATCCCTGCTTTGGTCTATGAGGCCAGGCCTGTCACTAATCATGACTCAAGCCCGAGGCCGGTCATGGTAGAGAGGAGGGTGTGGAAAGAAAGGATGAGTCTTGCTTCTGGTATGGGTGTGAGTTCAACTTCCGGGTCCAATTCTGATTTCAACACAAATTCGGTTTTTGATTCAAATTCAATGTCTGCGACCCTTTCATCTGCTACCAATGGCCAAAACGAGACGAGGTTGGTTATTACCGGAGACCACCTACTCTCAGAAGGAGCTTCTCAGCTATCGGCACCTTTGATTAGTCGGCCGTTACAAAGAACCAATTCTACAAGAGTTGGGCAGGAAGAGGTTTCAACCGAAAATTTTCACCTTGAAGGAATTGGGTTAGGTTCATCTGGTGCTATCAAACTGGGGCTGGGCGATTTTATCTTTTACAGTGTTTTAGTTGGTAGAGCAGCAATGTATGATTTCATGACAGTTTATGCTTGTTATCTGGCTATCATAGCTGGTCTAGGTATCACTCTAATGCTTCTAGCGTTTCATCAGAAAGCCTTGCCAGCTCTTCCTGTATCAGTATTATTAGGTGTGCTGTTTTATTTCTTGACACGGTTCTTGTTAGAAGTTTTTGTTGTACAATGTTCACTCCATCTCTTGATGTTCTAGAATGGAAACATATTTTCATTTTCTGTATGGAAATTCTTTTGCTTGCTAAATGATGTTCACAGACAGATATTTGTACCGTATTTACTTTTGGTTCATCATTTTCTTATTTATTTCATCTATTGCATCCCATGTTTGTCCTTGATCTTGTTATCCATTTGACTTGCCATGAAAACTAAAAGGGTTTTCTTAGCTTCTTTCTTCTGTCTCTGGAAACATTTTATTGAGTCCGTGATTGCAATGCCTAAGTCACAACCATGTAATTTTCCATAAGATTCTTTACCGAATAAAGTGTCATACAACTGAGACCATTGAAGAATGAAAATGCGGAAAGTGGAGCTAAAAATAAGACATAACCAAATGATTTAGAGGTAGTTGTGATAGAGTGAAAGAGAACTATCTGCTGAGGAGAATGAAATGGGAGTAAAGGAGGTTGTTAGATCTCTCTTAGTAGCACCTGAACTTGAAGAGTCGAGAAACTGTATCGATAAAAAAAGGAGTCAAGAAACTGCTTCTGCAGGCTTCAATTTTGATAGCTTGTCTGCCAATGTTTGGGAAGCACAAGTCTTACAGGTCTCTGGCTTGACTTCCTCAAACCTAAGATCTCCAGAAGCCTGCTTGTTGAAACAGTACTCTTCTATTCACAACTATATCCTTTCATTGTTATTGAATTTCATAATGGCTTTGAACTTATTGCTTCTCTTTTATGTCTTCTATGCCCATGAAATATTTTCAAGAGCATCTCTCTTTGGAATAACTTCCATTTTCAGCAAGAACCGTCAAAGGGGGATTCTGAGATGGAGTTGGTGTGCTCCCTGGTTCAGGTACTTCAAAAGGTCTTCTTAGAACCGTCAAAGGGGGATTCCTGAATTTGGACCCTTTCCTCTTCTGGCTCTTTCAGTTGTGCCTCCTTTTTCAATGCCCTGGCCCAATCTTGTCTTACTCCTGCTATTCCCTTCCCTTCTAAAGAAGTGTGGGGAAGACCGTTCCCACCTAGGGTCGGAGCACTCTGTTGGGAAATAGCTTTGGAAAGAATTAATACTTGTGGTCATCTTCAAAAAAAGAAGCCTTTTTGGTGCTTGTCCCCACACTGGTGTACCCTTTGTAAAGCCAATGGTGAGTCTTGCTCTCATTTACTTATATCCTGCCTTTTTATTTCATCTATTTGGGTGTGGTTTCTCTCTTTATTTGGTTGCAGGTGGACTCCCCCACGAAGCCTCTTTACCTATTCAGTTGGTAGCTGGATCAAAAAGAGGGGAAAAATGTTGTGGAGGTGCACCAGGGCAGCAGTTTGTTGGACGATTTTGGAGGAAAGGAGCCAAAGGATATTTGCTGAAAAAGAAAGAAGCTGGGACACAATTATAGAAGTGATTTCTGTGAGGGTAGCACAATGGGTAAAAACAATGAACCTATTTGAGGATACTCCAATAGAGACCATTGTGAACAATTGGCAGGAAATAGCAGTTTCGGCTCCTAGCAGAATCAATGCCCATCCGCTGTGGCTCCCCCCGATGGAAGGTTTTATCAAACTCAACTTTGTCCAGGGCCATCGGGGGTTAGTGGTGTTTTTAGAACAGAGGCAGGTTCAGTTATAGCCCATTTTTCAGGGCCAATTGGAGTTGGAGATTCATTGAGAGCAGAAATTCTGGCCCTCTTGGAGGGGGTAAAAAGGGCTAAGGAGTTGAATATAAATAGGTTGATTATCGAAGGAGACTCGCAAGTGGTAACTGGCTGGATAGAGAAGGCAAATGATGAGTTATGGGCATATATTAATGAACGAAGGCATTTCAAGTGGCTAACCCAAGGAATGGATGTGCGTGTTCGGTGGGTTAAAAGATGTGTTAATTCATATGCAGATGCTTTGGCCAACCAGGGGGTGGGAAGAAGTCATTTGTTTTGGGCTACACTGTAAATTTCCTTTTGGGGGTGTGGTGAGAGGGTTTACCTCCCCCCACCATTGTATTTAAAATTTCTTTCTTAATTAATGAAAGTTTTCTGTTACTGATAAAAAAATTACAAACTGATTAGGTGTTAAGGCAACACCTAGAATCAGTTCAAACAACAGCGAAAATAAAAACAAATGATTGAGGCTTATTTTGTAGCATGAAATAAAATTCAATGATTGAGGCAATCATATTAACTAATGATTGAGGCTTATATTGTAGCATGAAATAAAATTCTATAGGTTAGCCAATAAAAGAAAAATATATGATCAGATTTCCCTCCTTTTACATCAGTAATGGGCAAAGCTTATAGTTGACAAGAAAGGAGTGGGAGTTCGTTATGTACTTTGCCGGTGGAAACACAGAGCAGTACCCATTGGCCAGTTAAAGGAAATTTAACCTGGCTCAGGTTGGAGATGATCTCAATTTCCTCATTTTGCTTGCTACTTAGTTTTATAATGTTAAAACAGACTTAGATGCCTTGATTTGGTACGTTTAGAAAGCTTAGTTGGTTATCTATCCAACTGGCCCAGAATCATTGTCTTGGACATGATTGAGAAAGTTACAGTTAATACAAGCACGAATGAGTTTTTTTCACAGAAATTCCTATTTTTGGTTTGTTGAATTGTTATCAGTTCTTTGTTATACATTGTTTTTAGTCCTTTAATAATAATTGATTATTGAAGTATTTTATATAGTATTGATAGAAATTATAGTTTCTCTCAAAGCTTATGCATCTTGTGTGGTATATGACTCCAGGGTCAATCTTGATTTTCTTCTATTTTTGTTGGATTGGATAGAACAGTCTAGGGCTGACAAATTCTCATCTAAATTATTCCAAGCTCAATCTTGATGATAGAGTCCTCTATGTATCCCTTTACTTTGTTTTATATTCTATTAGCCTTCTACTATTTTTTCTCTTTTAGTACTGGACTAGACTCAACTTATCTTTCTTTTTTCTTTTTCCTTAGAAATGATAACTTTTTCATTAAAGAAAAAGACTGAGTTGTACGTGAGAGGATACAGGAAAACAGGACTATGTAGCAAAAAAATGGTAGAGCCCTTTCAACAATTGGGTAAACTATTTGTACTATACAATAGATTCCTCCCCAATCCAGGTTTCACTAGGGAATGGCCTTTTGGTTCAAATCTCTTGGAATCCATCTGTAGTAGCAGCCTAGGTAAGCACAAATCTCACTAATCTCAAGAAGGAAATGGGCCAACCTCCAAGGCCCAGATCTTGGCTTATTAACCCAACCAATCATGTTCCTTTTATCACCCTCTACCAGCAAGGGAACAGCTTGGATTTCTTTGGCAAATCTAAGTCTAGCAAGGGGGGCCTTGACTTCTGCTTCAGAGGTATCCATCACCTCAACTTAAGTTATCTTTTCTGGTTGTTCTTATAATTTCCTTAGTTCTCCACTTTCTAGCAGTTAAACTCTAGTTCGTTATTCTTCTATTTCTAAATCTTAGAATAATTTGTTTCTTTTACTCTTATTGCTTGTGGATGGTAGTAGGCAGCATTATGATGCAGCAGCACCTTTTTCACCTAAAGACAAGAAGGTTCACTTGTTAAGAATCTCTCTCTCTCTCTCTCTCACACACACACACACATTTTAAATTGACATAGTAAGAAAAAAGGTACTGAAAAATGAAATAGGATGGGGTTTCCAAAGCATGAGAGTGCAAATGTCTCCTCTTCTCCTTTAATTTTTTAATTTTTTAATTTTTATAGAACCTTCCTCATGAAATGGCCTTCAAACCAGCAACCTTTTTTTTGAACTGTAAGATAAGGTAATTTCATTAATATCCAGAAGCAAAATTCAAGAATACCCCTGTACAAAGAGAATGAAGAATCTGTACTAGGGGAAGACCAAGTATATCCAATTACATCAAACCCCGAAAACCAAAAAACTATAAATTCCTTGCAGAGAGAAAATCTTGATAAAAAAAAAGAATTTGTGTGTCTATTTTTGAATAGAGAGTGATTTTCCAACCAAGAGAACACCATTCAGCCCAAAATCTGTCTCCCTTCAAAATCTGAACCTTGAGAGGTTCATACACTGGATTCAGCCCCAACAAGAATGCAAACATCCACTGCTATGAAACTAACTTCGTTTACGCTTTTGCATCCTCATCATCATCATTTTCCACTCAATTGTCTGGTAGTGATCTAACTCCTTCCACATTAAAGTGAGGGCTGAATAATAAGCAGATAAGCAATGGTCCTCCCTGTTTACAGGTAGAGGATTCAGCCTATAATTGATAAATCTTTTCATAGTGTATGTGATCTGAATAGGTTGATTTAGCCTGTTCCCATATTTCATTTGCTGTATCAGCCCACAGTTCTTCCTCACTTCTGGTTCTATAGCCACAAGGAGCTAGGACATCACCATACTGTTCTCTTGATCCCACCTGTCATGTTCAGCAGTCCTTGTCTTAGATAGATTCCTTGACCTTCCCATTGATATAACCAGCTCTTCCCCTGGCTGTAACATACAGATTTATTCCCTTAGACCATTCCAGACAATTAAATCCATTCAACGGGGTAATAGGTATAGGGAAATTCATGCTGTCAGCCCCAACAATAGATGTTCCCTGAGGATGTAATTCCAGATGATGCAGAATGGGGTAATAGGTATAGGGAAATTCATGCTGCCAGCCCCAACAANAAATTCATGCTGCCAGCCCCAACAATAGATGTTCCCTGAGGATGTAATTCCAGATGATGCAGAATGGGGTAATAGGTATAGGGAAATTCATGCTGTCAGCCCCAACAATAGATGTTCCCTAAGGATGTAATTCTAGATGATGCAGAATCGTCAGTTGCCATTCACTCAAGCACCCATGACCTAACCACCAAAAATACTATCTGAACTCAATAGATAGAACCCAGCACCTCAGTCCAGCACACACGAAGAAAGAAATAAGGGACCAAGCTCTAGTCAAACAATAGGAACTGCTGAAACCCTTCTCACACACTGGTTACACAACCAAAAAACAATTTTTACTCATCACCAACACTGCACAGTCTGCTCACAGAATATACCTGTTGTGCACAGGATCACACAATCCACTCCAGCCACAAGAGAAAGGCACATAACCCCAAAAAAGACTGTTTACAGCATTCGGCTACTATCAATTACTTCCCTTGGCAT